TGCGTGCATTGGCTGACAGAGTAAATTTTGTTGGTCGGTAGAATCCCTTTTCGCTGATGATTAAAAATAACGTGATTTTAACATGTCCGCCTTATGAACCCAGATTAATCCTATCCCGTCCCTGTAGAAAATGGCTTTTGGCTGCATTTGTTGGTGATCGCTCAGAGAAGGTACAGAATGCAGCGGTAGAACTCACCTCTCAAAACTCGTTTTTTTACCCTTTTATTTTTTCGGTGAATCACTCAAAGACCTGTTGACAGCCTTTAGCCGTGTCAACATCGGGTGTTACAACGGTTCGCTTATATCTACTTTAGTTAAGAGAGCTGTGGTGGAAGTTAGGCAATTGCATTCCACCCGAATGTCATGCATCGACAGGCAACGATAAACCTTGAAGACATCAGGTGACTTCTGTTGAACGAATAAGTGTACCACTGGTTAGCCGAACGACCTAATCACTTCTGCCCTCCCCTACGCACACTTGTGAGGCTCCTCCGTTTCGTTTCTCTGAAGCCTATCCTCCTTGACTACACTCTGTGCGATTGATGGCATTGTTTCCTTCTTAATGGTGAAATAATTTCCACCGAGGTCTGTCCGCTTGACGCTGTAAAAATCGACTATTTTAGATGCAGCCATTACTAGTGATTTAGTTGTGAAAACATTTTTTTTCTGCCTGACAATGCAGCACTCCTTATCGTTCAAAGTACCTTCTTGAGGACCTTATAACATTCTGGGGAGAAAATACCATGTTGTCTTACTTCTTTCATTCCCACCATACTTCTTCGAGTAGCGGCCTTATCCTTTTCTTGCCAAAAAAAAAAAAACTACCGCTCAAAACATAAATGACATGAGCGGACCTAGTTGGGACTAGGTTCGTTTTTTTTACTTCTGGATACAAAACTTCTTAAAAATATGGATCTTCCTAGGCCTTATAAGGTTGGACCGGCAACTTTTCAAACGACTTAGCTATCCTACATTTATGTACTTGCTTCCCATTGCAGAGACTTCAAAATGCTGTTAGGAAACAAACTTGGTACATGCCTCCTTATATCACTAGAATAAGACCGTATTCAGTGAAATTGTTGCTTGTCTTGACAACTCTTGTGAATCATAACATTATCAACGATAGATATCAACATATTCTTCGTTGACTTTTAAAGATGTACCTGCCACGACAGCCGAAGGTGTTAAAATCGAGAGAGAGGAAATGCTAGGGTTGCCATGTTCATCCAGTCCTGAGTCGTTCTAGCTCTATGAGAATGGGCAGAATCTTGCTGTGAAACATCCAAGCAAGCCCCTTGATGCAGGACTTGGCAACCGACTATTGTCTGGGTGTAGATTGCTGCATCCATTCTAAGAACGCATGAAAAGTGAAAGAAAAACGTACTGTTTTGAAGTTAATGAGAATTTATAAAGGTTGGGTGTGGATGGTTCTAGAAATGTGAAGAAAACATCCTTATTTCAACCTGGAAGGACATTAGTTTAGAGTTTCTGCAGCTGGAAACTAAGGTGAAAAAAATAATGGATGCTCTCTCCTCGTGTCCGTGGTTAATGTAAATCTATAAAATTTTCTCTCCTTTCTCCTACAGAAAGCCGTCAGTCGTTATGAAACTCTGATCGGTAGTTGTACAAAACTCTCCATTCATCCCCGTCGCTACATCTCCCGCAAATACAACGACACCGAGGTCGACCAAAATTTAACGTGTATGGCGCGGAGGAATTTCAGGTCTGCTCGACTCAAGCCATCCTACCCGCAGTATTATGCAGTAGAGTCGCTGGAGAAGCACTTTTCTCAATTCCCCGGTTATTTGGCCAAAGCAAATTCTAAAATGGCTATTTCCCATATCCACTTGGGGGTTCGTCGGTTAGGCGGGCCCTGGCCCAACTCCGAAATGAATGAGTCGTGTGAGTGACTCATTTAGGTAATGTTTACTTTTCGGTGTAGGCGTAGCGCCTTGAAAGGTTTCCTGTTAACCTACAGAAGGTCTGAGTGACTATAGGCATCGACACCAAGTTAATGAGAACTTTACCGCTTTGGTTATAAGGGGACAATTGAAGAAGATGTATTTGCAGCAAACTGGAGCTTCTCTTATTTATGGTAATGTCTACTGGAGTTATGGTTGGGAATTATGACCACCACGTCATTCGTATGCCAAACTGCATTCAAAAAGGACTGATTTGGGCAACAAAACTAAGTGGATCACTCCCAGAAAAAGGTGGCTTAATCCGTGAGGAGGGAGAAACATAACTTCCTCTGACTGTGATATGAAATTTTCTTGTCCTTAGCGAGATCGCGGTTATTTTGTTTCAAATCGTTTAAATTATTGTTGGTCATATTACAGAATCTAGGGCTGGGGATGATTATCAAAAGTAATCTAATTTTCGATAGCTCTTCAGCTGCTACTCCCTACGGGTTCAACTATCTAAGACAATTGTGAAGCTTCAGTGTGGTATCCAGGCAATGAAATCAGGCGACTTGATTACTTGAACGACTTTACCTTCCATTGACGTTAAGGAAGGACTGTAGTTACTTATGGAAATGTAGGTCAGAGAACGTTAAACAGCCACTTCAATTCATTGTGACCTCGTTTCTGATACTTTTAACCAACTATAACTTCATTTATTCTTCTTTTTTACAGATTTGCTGATTGCGATCCCCTCGGGCATAAAGATTTTGGCCGAAGAGGTTTGGGGTGCCATACGCGGCCTTGAGACTCTTAGTCAGCTTTTGTGGTGTTCCCCTAGCGGATCCACAGTAATTTGCTAGCTTCTTGTCTTGTCTACTATTTTCATTATTCACTAACCTCCTAGTGACTTCTATAAATTTAGGCATGTTTAATTTGATTGGACCTGTTGTAGAGTTTGTGGCATATACTTTAGTGTAGAAAATTCATTCAAAATCGGATTTTGAGCACAGCTGTCTCTAAGAGCAGTTCTTGATGTTCTCTTAGTACTATAAGGTGACGTGTAGGTGAGTCCCCCAAGAACGTCAAAAAGGTCAATTCAGACGAGTCTGGGGTTAACGTAATCAAGAAGATTCTCCATCACTAATTATATGAGAATAAGTACTTTTTAAAAGCCGGATAAATCTCTCGAATGAGGATTTGACAGCTGCCTGTCAGCGGTTGGAAGCAAGCTGTTTACGTTTTTCTAGAACCTTAATGGTATGCAGAAATGCTCTCGACACGTTGGACAACGTCATCACGCCCGCAGTCAGGCCATTTTTACCTTTCATATGGACAACTTGCCAGATTTCTTGTCAGCTTTTAAATTTCGTTCACCTACTTTTTTCTCTTTTTCTATTTTAGATATTCATTAACCAAACCTTCATAAGAGACTACCCCAGTTTTCCCCACAGGGGTCTGCATTTGGACACATCGAGACATTACATATCAAAGCACAAAATTCTCATGAATTTGGTGCGTTTTTAAGCATGGAAATCTTTTAACCTCCACAAAAAATAAGTGCCACTGGTCAAGATTGACGGTATTACCTAGCAAAAAACATCAAATTTATAAAAACCACAAGTGCATTTTTTAATTCGTTAAAATAATTATAATGAAAACTAATAAACCTTTCCAAAATTAGACGCAAACCTGCTTCTTCTAGAAGCAAAAAGACTTACTCCTCACCAAATCTGTGTCTACCTCGCTTTTATTTCCCAACTGTCTGATCGGTTTCTCCTATGATTCGCTGCTACCGAGAAAGGGTAGAGATCGTTACTTGGGTCGAGGCTGTAGCTCTTTTCTCTCTCTCCCTCCCTCTCTTCCTCCAATTCCTTATCGCCAATCTCTCCCCTCAATGACTGGGTCCTGTTGTTTCTGAGGCGGTTTTTCTTACACATCTTTAAGTTTTTCTTTGTCTTAGCATGATTCAACCCCAGATTCGAGCAAAGTGTTTAAACTGCCACCTCACCTTTTACAAAGTAAATAAAGAGCTTTCGTACCTTTGCAAATGATTTGAAGTTTGTGAAGCATAGAAACTCAAGACACAAAATGTGTAAAAAATGATAGAAGGAACAATTAGGAGTAGTAAACTGACCAACAAGTGCAACTTCCTTGTTGTACATGCG